GACAAAAGTTAAATTTCCAGCTCATTGAAAGTTGTTCTTTATCCAATCATTAGGGAATATGCTTTGCACGACCCCATCTCATTTTGTGTGTCACTTGACCTACCTATAAAAGGAATATGATGCACTTTTTGAGAGAGAGACTTAGCATTTGGTAGATACAACTTTAGAGGCTATTCTTAGTGTAGAAGAAAAGAGGAGAAGGCTAGAGACACCATTGGAGTTCTTCATCAACAAGGAGTAGATTCCTTCCATGGAGTTAGCCCTTGAGGGTTGGAGCAACATCACCATGAGTGGCTAGACATCCTCTTGGGGCTAGAGTTAGCCCCAAGCATGCTTTCTATATCTTAATCTTGTGTATTATTGAGGGATTAGTGTTGTAATTAATGTTTTGACACTTTGATATATATAGATCTTGATTGTTCAATGATTTATGTGGTTAAATGCTTTCAATTGATCATTTCATTCTATCCATATATCTATGTATGTTAGAATAGATGTTCATGTGCTTGTCTCTAGATTTTGTGTTATTGATGCATGTCTATGTGTATTGATGCTATAGATTTAGAGATTATCAAAACATAGTGCTTAATGGAATGCTCTTGTGATTTTCTTGATGGTTCATACTTGTTCCTTGATGGATTGTGCCTCTCCCTTAGTTTATTTTCATTCTAGTAGTGTAGATGTAATGTAGTTGTAGTGTAGTGTTAAATGGAAGGACAATCCATGCTTGTTTTTTTTTTTTTTTATAAGTAAAATGTATTAGAAAGCGTTCAAAAGGGGAACGCGTCCCGAGATATACACAAAAAGAATCTATGAACTCAAAGAACCCAAAAAGTCCACAATGTCCTCTAAAGAAGAATAATCCCTCCCCCAACCCCAACAAAAAAGGGTACAAATAATAGAAAATTTCAGCTCTCCAATAGAGGACTCCTTCCCATCAAAAGATCTTCTGTTCCGCTCTTTCCAAAGACTCCACCAAACACAAAGAGGGGTCACCCTCCAAAAGTCTCTAGCCTGAGCCCCCACCCATTGGCCCCTCCAGATATCTAGCAATCCTCGAGAAGTCTGAGGCATGACCCAATGGATGCCAAACAAACCAAGCAAAAGACTCCAACATTCATAAGCAACAGGACAATGCAACAGAAGGTGATCCACGGACTTCCCAAAACACTTGCAAAGACAACACTGGTTAACAATGATATGTCTTCTCTTCCGTAAATTGTCCAAAGTCAGAATCTTACTCCAAGCTGCAGTCCACACAAAAAAGGCCACCCTAAGGGGTGCCTTAGAGAGCCACACCGTCTTCCACGGGAAGGGCAACCCATGAAACCCAGAGAGGCGCACAAAGAATGACCGAACCTGGAACATCCCATTAGAAGAAGGCACCCAAAACAAGGAATCCACACCAGTGCCATCCAAATCCTGTCTATACAAAGGGGCCAACAAGCCAGTGACATCATCCAACTCCCAATCTTGAAAAGGTCACCTGAATCGCACATCCCAAGACAACGTCCCGCTATCAAGACGATAACAGTCAGCAACCATAGCATGTTTGTCAACAGCAATCATAAACAATCCATGCTTGTTGTTTGATGATCCATGCTTTTGAATGCAAATAGCATATGTCTCTAACCTTGTGGTGTATTTGGATTGTGAGCTTAATGAAAGGATTAATGACTTGTTTTGATCTATTGTGCCTTTCACATGTTGTTTAGACAATATATGCTTCATTGCTTAGATATATTGTGCCTTTCACATGAAGTTTAGACAATACATGCTTAACTAGTCATCCTTGCTTGTTAAATCAACCAAACACACACACACACCAATATTGCAACACACCATTTGCCCTCATTAGTCACTTGTCAATGGTATAGAAATACATTGCTTGGTGGTGATCTCTAAACCCCAAGACTCTTCTCTCTCTTATTTGCTCTTAGTTGCATTCTTTTGTTATCACTTAGTTTAATTTAGTTGCTCTCTAGTCTAATCAACCAACCAACCAATTGTTTGATCACTCGACCTACTAGCCCTAATAGCAATTCCACAACCTTGTTCGACCCTCACAATCCCTTGGGACGATCCCTACTCGCTCTAGCTATATTTTTAGTGAAGGTAGTAGTGGCTTATACAAATGTAAAAGTTGGCCCTCGCCTTAATGCACACTCTCTAAGCTTGACGGTAGTGCGACACACCGGTCACCATTATGTTCTCAATGCATGTACCAAAATATCTATGGGGAGATGCTATTTTGACAACATCTTCTTTAATATATTACACCTTTAGAGTGTTTCAAAAACTTCTTCCCTGAATGTCGACTTTTCTCTGACTTACCCTTGAAAATTTTTGGGTGCACTGTGTTTGTTCACATACCTAGTAGGCTTCAACCCAAACTTGATCCTAGGGCAGAAAAATGTGTGTTTATTGGTTATGCGCCAAATAAAAGGGGATACAAGTGTTATAATCCTAAAACAAAAAACACTTTTGTGAGTATGGATGTATCGTTTGTGGAAAGTCAGCCTTACTTTGGACAAAACTATCTTCAGGGGGAGATAGTGAATAATGAAGCTCAATTTTGGGAAACAGTTGTTCCTCTACCTAATACCTTAGTTGTTCCTCTGCCTAATACCTTATTTCCTGTACCTGTTCTTGATCCTTCCACCTCTAATAATCAAGACTAAGTGCTCCGTGTTTACACTAGAAGGAGTACTCATCAAAAAAGTAAAGACTTGCCTACAACTATAGCACAAGACCAACCACTGTCTCCGAGCGATGGTCCATCTACTACTACAGGTAACTCTAATCCTTCTTTGTCAAATTCCACTCCTATTACTTTCGATCTTAATGTACCTATAGCACTTAGAAAGGGAGTCCGAACATGTACAGAACATCCTATTGCTAAATATGTCTTACCATAGGCTTTCTAAGTCTCATAAAGCTTTTACCTCAAAAATTTCCCACCTGTTTATCCCGAAACCATTTAAGAAGCTTTAGATAATCCGGATTGGAAATTGGCAATTTTGGAAGAGATGAATGCTCTGAAAAAGAATGGGACTTGGGAGATAGTTAGCTTACCCAAGGAGAAGAAAACGGTAGGATACAAATTGGTGTTTACAGTTAAGTGTAGAGCTGATGGAAGTATAGAAAGGTACAAGGCACATTTAGTGGCAAAAGGATTTACACAGACACACAGTATTGATTACCAGGAGACTTTTGCTCCAGTCACAAAGATTAATTCAATCCGTGTCTTACTATCCTTAGCAGTTAGTCTTGACTGGCCATTACACCAGCTAGATGTAAAAAACGCATTCTCTAACAGGGATTTGGAAGAGGAAGTCTTTATGAGCCTACCACCGAGGTTTGAAGAACGTCTTGGTGAAGGGAAAGTGTGTAGACTAAGAAAATTCCTGTATGGCGTCAAACAATCTCCCAAAACATGGTTTGAGCGATTTGGGAAAGATGTAAAGAGCCATGGATATACACAAAGTCAAGCAGATCACACTATATTCTATAAGCACTCAAAAGAAGGAAAGATTGCTATTTTGATTGTTTATGTTGATGATATAATATTAACAGGTGATGATCATGTTGAGCTGAAAAGACTCAAGAGAGTTCTTGCTGATGACTTTGAGATCAAGGACTTGGGAGCCATAAAGTATTTTCTTGGAATGGCGTTTGCCAGGTCTTAAAAAGGGCATCTTTGTGTCTCAACGAAAATACGTGCCGGATTTTCTTAGAGAGACAGGTCTACTCGGTTGCAAGGCAACTGAGACACCAATTGAACCTAATTTGAAGCTCCAATCTACTAAACCCGAAGATGTGAAGAACAGGGAACAATTTCAGAGGCTGGTTGGTAGACTGATTTATCTGTCGCATACTCGCCCAAATATAGCTTTTGCAGTGAGCATGGTAAGTCAATTTATGCACTCACCATGTCCAGAACACTTCGAGGCTGTGTACAGAATCCTAAGGTACTTAAAGGGATCACCAGGGAAGGGTCTGTTGTTTGAAAAGCACGGTCACCTACAAATTGAAGTATATACAGATGCAAACTGGGCTGGGAGTATAACTGATAGAAGGTCAACCTCTGGCTACTGTACTTTTGTTGGAGGAAACCTTGTTACTTGGCGTAGTAAAAAGCAAAATGTGGTGGCAAGAAGCAGTGTTGAAGCCGAATTTAAATCAGTTGCCCACGGAATTTGTGAGGTGTTATGGGTTAAAAGAATCTTAGACAAATTGAAGGTCTCAAGTCCCTCTCCGATAAAGGCATACTGTGATAACAAAGCAGCAATCTCAATAGCAAATAATCCTATGCTTCCTTACGGAACCAAGCATGTTGAGGTAGACAAGCACTTCATCAAGGAGAAAATAGAGAACGGGCAGATTTGTATGACCTATATACCAACTGATGAACAGATTGCAGATGTTTTTACAAAGGGTCTGTCCAGAAACAATTTGAGAAATTGACGGGCAAGCTGGCTATGGAAGATATCTTCAAGCCAGCTTGAGGGGGAGTGTTGGAAAGGAGAATATTCGGCTAAGATTTATTGCTGATCTCTAGGGATTGCCTAGCTGTATTTTATGTTTAAATATAGGCTCAGTCAACTCTGTAAATAAGGAAAATTAGTTGTATAGTTATTATGTTCCCTTTTTAATGCCTTGTATAGCCTATAAGTAGTGTACGCGTATATCATTCTGAGTATCAATGAAATACCATTTCACTAAAACAATTCTCTCCTAATTTCTTGTTGTTTAGATAATCATAAAAGGATCAAAGAGGAATCACAACTTGCACGGAGGTGGAAATATTAAAGAAAACTACCATTTGTTAGCCACCTTATTATTTTCAAGGAATGAAAGTTTAAACAACGATATAAGGAGCTTTTGGATCTTTGGGAGGCCCAAGGCCCACCTTGGCTTCTGTGTAGCTCCACCATTGATACAAGGATGTAAGATATCATGAATTGAAAATAAAGTAAGTTGCCAACCCAATGACATACCGAGCTTCTGCTATTAATGTAACGAATGAGTTTCCCTTCATTTCCAGAATAGATAAGCTTCAAATTTCCCGGCCCCACTTCTATAGTGTCATTTTGACTCCCAGTGGACGTGTATACCGTTTCTCTCACTAAAGTAGCAGCTGCGTCATAAAGCAGGACAGATTTTTAAAAAATACAAATTTTGAAGTCAATAACTACAAAAATAAAAGCAAGAGTACTTCCAAAATATGGCAATTAAATAGCTAACCTGCCTGCTTGGCACTTGAGATGATGTAAGTGCTGAAACCAAGAGGTGGAACAGATGCTGTAAATGCAAGCCAATACTTGGGGGTCACACTTGGGGATTTACCCACATAGGCAGTAGTATATTGGTTTCTTAGGCTTAAAGAGGCATTAACTAGAAGTAGAAGCTGTGATTCAATTTCTTTTCCATTTGAATCATGAACAGTAACATTCTCATTGATAACCTGCAGGAAGTACACTATGTAAGATGATGTATGAAAAGTTCAAAACAAATTATTTAAAATTATTGTCTTCCAGCAGGGAAACATATGATGAGTATGGCCAATATGTTTTTTGTATTTATTAAATGAATTTCTTTTATTTAAAGGTATATGCAGTAGAAAAATTTATCATGACATATCCACCCACATACATACAAGCATATATGCATGCACACATGAAGGATTGGATGGCACGTAAATTACTTGTAAGGTGGAGAACAAGAATGCAGGTCATAGGGGATAACAATTCTGTGCTTCTTTGAAATGATGGGAAGTAGCTTTTTATTTTTAATTTTTTTCGGAGGAAAGAAAAATAGGACTCCACTTTCTTGAAACCAAACTGGATATAATAATCTTATATATTTGATTTCATGTTATGCGAATTCTTGAATAAAAGCTTTCTTATGATAAACAAAATGACATGCAGCCATATCCAACAGAATTAGACTCTTATTTTCTACATTTTCTTTTCGTGGAGACAGAGCCTTAGAATTTCCTCATCTGATGTCATAATTGAATTTCTCTACTTTCCATCAAGGACCCAATGCTTTATCTTTTTGAAAACACAAACACAATTCAAACACAAACAACTTTGCACGTCTTTCACATCTGCCCAAATTTACTGACTAATTAAAAAGGGATACAATTTTCTGTTCCAAACAGTAAATCGAAGCCGCACAATTGCAGGTGGCAGCAGTGAATTCAGATATCAAGAAAAGAATCTATTTGGTTTCTGTATTTAGCATTAGCAGGAAGGCGAGGACAGCTGAGGCATCAAACAACAGATACTAGTAAAATTTATATACAACTTGTTTTGAGATAATACATTCTGGCTGAATGGCTATAGCTCATGTTGGAAGATGTTAGTGGTGACAACATATTATCCTATAGTTGTTGCCATATTTACCTCCTTGATTTTAGGAATTTGATTATTATGATTGTTGTAAGTTAGGAGCAGATTGTAGGGTTGTGTTTTAGACTTTTGTTTTACGTGTATAGTTTTCCATCTTTCCTATTTATACTTGTACAAGATGTAAACATATTGGAGAAATACAGAGAACTTTTCTCTCTAAACTTACAACATGGTATCAGAGCAATAGTGTGAGAAAGAGAGAGAAGTTTCACTGGAGTGAGCAATTACCGCTGACCTATTCTCGTTGCCTTCCTATTCTTGGTGTCTTGGTGTGCAATTGCCTTGGAGAACATCCTAAGGCCTCGATTCTTCACACCATTGACACAGAAATATTGTGTACCGCTAAATCTTCTGGTTGGTTTTGGTACAACACCACCCATTCCTTCGACTGTGACAATTCAACATGATAAAATGAGTGGGATGAATTATTCCGCCTGGTCCCAATTTGTTAAGCTGTACATCACAGCAAAGGGAAAGTTGGGGTACTTGAATGGAGAGAAGAAACATCCGGCTGATACTGATACTTCCTTGGCAGGAGCCGGATGCCATGTTGATGTCATGGCTTCTTAACTCGATGACTCTGGACATTAGTGCCAGTTTTCTTAGACTTCCCACATCTCATGCTATTTGGGAAGCTGCGGCTCAAACCTATTCTGATGGCAGTGATGCTTCTCATATGCTATTTGGCAGGAGCTGGATTTTCTCCAACCGTGTGATATGGAGTGTGCTGGGGATACAACAAAGCTAAAGAAGAGAATCGAGAATGAGAGGGCCTACGATTTTCTAGCGGGCCTCAACCCAGGGTTTGATCAGATCAGAGTACAGGTTTTAGGGCATGATTCTCTTCCCAGTCTTCATGGTGCTTATGCCTATGTTTGGTGTGAGGAGATCCGTCAGGCTACTATGCTTAAATGTGCCTCACAGGAGAGTTTAACCTAGACTACTGTCCAGACTCCAACTGCATTAGTTACCTCTGGCTATAGGAAACATCAAAACAAAGAGCCTTTGTTCTGTACAAACTGTAATAAGGCAGGAAATACTCGAGAGACTTGTTTTAAGCTGAAAGGTTATCCAGACAGGTTCTGTAAGATTGGGTGTGTGTGTGTGTTGGGGGGGGGGGGGGGGGGGTGTGGTTATTGGTTTGGTGGAACAAGGGGATAACTCAAATTTTTGAGCACATCATAACAACCTCCGATGCACAATCTTCTTTTGCAGCCCAACCACAGTATTCTCAGGCCCAGGTAGATCAAATGATGAAAGAGTATGCTCAGAAGCTATCCTCAAAAGATGCTTCCTGTAACTTAGTCAATAAAGGTAACTTTGGATTAGCATTGAGCAATTCTAGTCATGCTGAGTCATCTTGGATAATAGGTTCGGGGGGGGGGAAGGTGGTTGTTGGTTTGGTGGAACAAGGGGATAACTCAAATTTTTGAGCACATCAGACAACCTCCAATGCACAATCTTCTTTTGCAGCCCAACCACAGTATTCTCGGGCCCAGGTAGATCAAATGATGAAAGAGTATGCTCGAAAGCTATCCTCAAAAGATGCTTCCTGTAACTTAGTCAATAAAGGTAACTTTGGATTAGCATTGAGCAATTCTAGTCATGCTGAGTCATCTTGGATAATAGGTTCAGGTAGTACTGATCATATAACGCATGTATCTAGTTTTTTCTCCTTTCTATAGCACTCTCCTGGTACAAGAAGTGCTAAGACAGCAAATGAGTCTACTTCTATTCTGTCTGGGCAAGGTTCCATTCCTTTAACTTCTTCTCTGTCTCTCTCTATCTAACATGTTCCATGTTTATCTGGTAACCTATTGTCCATTAGTCAGGTTACTAAGGCTCTTAAATGTTCCGTAACATTCTTTGATACTCATTGTGTCTTTCAAGATCTTATGGGAGCGAAGATTGGTCCTGGTAGAGAAAGAGGTGGTCTGTACTACATGGATATGAATCGTGCTTCAAATGGAAAAGCAAATCAAGTAGGTCAACATAAGAAGAGCATATTTGGTTATGGCATCAAAGATTGGGACACCCCCTCATTTAGCTATTTTCATAAGTTGTTCCCATTTTTATTTTCCAAAGTTGATGTTTCTAATTTTCATTGTGATAGTTGTGTGTTAGCCAAACACCATCCAACTTCTTTTCCTTCAAGATTTAATAAAAGTTATGTGCCTTTCTCAATTATTCAAAGTGATGTGTGGGGGCCATCCCGTGTTCCTAATCATTTAGGTTCTAAATGGTTTGTTTCCTTCATTGATGATTGCACTATTGTTTTGTGGATCTATCTGTTGAAAGAAAAGAGTGATGTTTTTTTCCACCCTCTAGTCCTTTTACCAAATGGTTCTTACCAAGTTTAACACGAGAGTACGGGTTTTACAATCAGATAATGGATGGCAGTATTTTAAGAAGGGTCTTAGTATCTATTGGGAGAAAATATAGGGATTTGAATTGTATTGGGAGTATCTTTAGGGATTGGATTTGATCTGAACTTAATTTGATTTTATATAATAATATTTTCATCATGTGCCTATTAGAGGCATAGGATCAGATTTGATTTACTTTCCACTTATATAATATTCAGTCTGTAATATAAATTAGGAGCATGGCTAATGAGAATTTGTGGCTTACAAGAGCCTTTTACATTCAACTTGGTATCCGAGCCAAGAACACGACACACACTCCATTGCATGATCTCTACTTCATATTCTCTTGGTTCATCCTCTCTTCTTTTTGTGTTCTTTAAATATTTCACTCACCAACCACAAAACCACACCCAAGCAAACCAAACCCCTTCAAGCGTATTTCTTCTTCCCTCCATCGCTTCATGTGGTAGAGGGGTCTCTCTCTAAACCAATGACCGGCTTGGTCGTAATGTACTGTTGACGAATCGTCCATCCTCTTTTAATTCTCTATCGACTTCCGCAATGTCAGTACATGCTGTTGACAAATTGTTCAGCCGAGTTTCACTCTTGCAGATAGAGCTGCTCACTTAGAAGACTTCTCCAGCCCTTGTGACTTGCAGACAGCAGTATTTACAATCTGCAATTCGGTAAGACTCTGCGATTTGATTCTATATCATCACAATCTGAGAAATGGAATCTGTTCAGACTAAGGATAATGCTCCTATGGGCATAGTTCCCAAGCCCAAAGGATTACTACAGTTTTATTAAATGGGAAAAATTTTCTGTCTTGGTCGAGATCAGTGAGACTTTATTTAGGGAGTCGGGGTAAAACTAGATATTTATTGGGCCCTATAAAAAAACCAGCACCTGCTCAACCCACGTTTACATAATGGGACATTGATAATTGTACCACTCCTGGGTGGTTATTCAATTCTATGGAGCAATGTATTTATAATATGTTTATGTATCATGAAACTGTACACACCTTATGGACTACTCTCACTAAGACTTATGCTCATGCTCGTAATGAAGCCCGGATCTATGAGTTGCATCGAGATCTTACTTCTGTATGGGGGGTGAAGTCTTTGACCTTGGTGTTTCATTTTTTTTTTTTTTGTCTTTTGACATTTTTGGACCTTAAGCATTACGGTGCCTATGACATTGTTGTTAGAGTTTTGGGATTGGCTACCCCAACTCTCACGGAATGCCTAGTTCCCACAATGCTTTTGGCAATGTTTGTTTTGTGACATTGATGTCATTTGTATCGAGTGGTTTTACGGGTAGACTTAGTGGGGGCATATAATGAACTAGGGCTATATACTGTCATGCTACCGTACGAAGTTGTGTGTTGTGGGAGGGTGCCAGTTGCTGTCGATGCTACCGTACTGACGAGTAAGTGTGAGCGGGCTCTAGACACTGTCAAGCTACCATACATTTGAGTACGTTGTGGGATGGTTCTAGTCGCTATTCATACTACCATATTGCTTTGATCTCGAGGCTTTAGGAGTTGCCCTTTAGTAGTCGATGATCTGTTCGGTGTTTGAGTTTTGACGAGTTGTGTGGGATACTCGAAGATGTACTCCATAGCTATCCTGGGTTGGCCTTCTGTTTTGTCGAGGCCGGATTTCGGGGACGAAATCCCTTTA